ACTGTCATTAGTGATTTACAACAAGGTCAGCTAAATATGTCCTTAAACATTGACAGTAGTGCGGTCCTTAAAGCTTCCGGTGTTTTTGGCTAAAAACTGCCCCAGTAATCCCACGTAAATGGCAGTATCCTGTCGTTTTAACCGTCGGAGGTCGCTTTGGGCAGTTACCAGGGCAGGTTAAGAGTACTCTCAACTGCAGAGGACTTACTTCGCTTTTGATTGACTGTCTGTATTTTTTGCTCTAACTCTCAGCCTTCGTACATAATTATCAGTGACAGTAATCAGGACATCGGACAGGAGAAGAAAAGAAAATTTGTCTAATGTACCAGGAACAAACTGGAGAGTAAAGACAGCAGTCTTTATATATATAGATATATATATAGGCAGAATAGTATTACCGACAAAGACAAGGGAGACTGGAATGGCCATTTCTGGCTTATTAGCCGTCGTCAGCCAGCCATACCCAAGCCCGAAGTGTGGAACACCCGAGCCTCGAACTCGCGACCTGTTGGTTTAGAAGTCAACGCCTCTACTCACCGGGCCACGAGCCCGTTGCCTTGTCGGTTTTTTCGATCGGGAATATACAACAAGGCAAGGCAACGGGCTCGTGGCCCGGTGAGTAGAGGCGTTGACTTCTAAACCAACAGGTCGCGAGTTCGAGGCTCGGGTGTTCCACACTTCGGGCTTGGGTATGGCTGGCTGACGACGGCTAATAAGCCAGAAATGGCCATTCCAGTCTCCCTTGTCTTTGTCGGTAATACTATTCTGCCTATATATCATGCGCCGCTGTGCGGCTGCTGGTTGGGCTCGAGAGAGAGTCCATAAGGCACAACGGAACGAGTGAGTTCCGTATGAACGATCGGTGAGCGCCCCCTAACATTATAGATATATATGCTTAAGAAATAAGCATACACAATAGGTAGGCTAACTCATGAATTGTCAACCGAAATTCCGAAATGCGTTTTCGTTTCGAAAAGATTAATTTAATAGGGTTTCAAAACTAGTCAGCCTGCAACATAATTCACTAATATTTCAGTTACCACCAGATGCTGGCTTTCGAATGAACTCTCTTCCGGCTTCGTGTAGAAAATACACTCTGCAAAAAATGACTACTTAAATAGCATGAATTTCTTTCATTGATTTTCGATGCCCCCAAATATCCAATTATATTCCGTGAAAAACATGCACACAAATATTCATTCTTTTGCTCATGCGGTAGATAATTAATTCTTCTTTTAACTTTATGCTCAAAGCAGGAACATAGTTCCGTTTTAAAAAGGCTTTCCAATTCTTAAATAATTTTCAACCCTCTCTATTGTTGCACGTTTATTCAGGGTTTCCAAACTACGAGCTGTCTATTTTTCGACTACGGAAAACCATACATTTCTCAACGGTAATAGAGGGGACCATATAGGTTCATAAAATTAAGCATTTGACTTGATCCACATTGTTAACTTTACAAGCCACATTGGTAAGTGCTCAGATTTGGCAATTTATGAACGGCCACTCCACGGTATTTAAAAGACCTACGATTCGAAACGCTTTTTAACATTCACTTATATCCTTTTTGAGTACAAAATTAGGCGACGTAATTAGCTGCCGAATGAGCAAAAGAGTGATTTTTTATGCATGTTTTCCATGGAATATAATTAGGCATTTTGAGGTTACGCTAAAATTCATCCTACTTAAATAGTCATTTTTACAGAGTGTATTTTTTGCATGCTGCCGAAGCGAAGTTCACTCGAGAGCCGGCATCCTGAGGTAACTAATATATTATATAATTATGCTACATTATGATTAGTTTTACAACCCTATTTAGTTAATCTTTTCGAAACGAAAACTCATTTCGGAATTTTGGTTATCATTTCATGAGTAAGCCCACCTACTTTAGAAGGCGCTTGGAACGAATTTATAATAGATTTAAAAGAAAAATAGGAGAAACAGCTTTCTGCTGTCGTTGCCAGAGTCTGTCTCTGTTGTCTTTCATGGAAATGATAATGGTTGTGTTGCTGACAGTTAGGTCAGAAAGTAGGTTTCCATGTGGCGTTGGAGCGATACGGTGATTTAGGAGTGACATGCGGAGGATAAATGTTTCGTGGCACGTAAGCCAGCGCGAATTATGAAATCTTCCGCGAGGTCGGGTTCTGAAACCCCACGTTATTGGCACCGTATGGTTAGCTTACTGAAACAATATTAGTTAGCACACCTAACTTTGCCACCCTCTTGATTATGAAGGGAAAGCGGGCGCATGCAGAGCTCAAAGCACACGCAGCGAATAGAGTGAAGTTGGCGTGTAAACACTCTCCCTCCCTCCCCCCCAGACACAGTCCCTCGCTGGATGTGGAGGATAAGGTAGGCGTACTCACAAGTGGGAGGGCCACGGAGGGTACTGCGTGCTTATTCGCAGTGCCTGGCCACATTAACCAAATTTTTTTAGAATTTTTTTAGAATTTTCACTCAGGTGGGGCTGCAGGACCAAACATTGCCGAAAAATCGTTGTCCATTTTTTTCAGGCTCATAACTGATACAATAAGGGAGAGGAGGACCGTGTGGAGGCGGACCCAAAATGACTTCCCCCTCGCCCTGCATCACCCAGGTCACGCGGAATCCGATGCGGCGAAAAAAACTTCTTGTACGTATAAAGATCGGCGTGTCTGCGGTCCGCGTAGAAGTGGGCCCAGTCGTGCCCATTCATGTCCAAACCGTCTTGTCGTTGACAAGTAATGCGTGAGGGAGGATATAATGGCCTAGAAGCTCGCCAACTCGCCACAGTCTGTCGTGGTAATTGACTGCGGCGATCAGTAGGAGGTGGATGAAGCAGAAGAAGAAGAAGAAGAAGAAGAAGAAGAAGAAGAAGAATAAGATGATGATGATGATGATGATGATGATGGTGGTGGTGGTGGTGGTGGTGGTGGTGGTGGTGGT